AGGTTGTTCCCGGGTTCTGGATGAATATAATTGAACCGAATGTTTAGGAAAACTATCTCGGTTATCAAAAAAAATATGAAAGTTTGTTTTGGACATAGTATTTTTTAAACTAATTTTTCTATCGGTTTGAATTTCGAAGATATAACTGTTCCTAAATATTAGAATTAATATTTTTCGATAATTTCAATTTTCATCAAACTTTATAATATGTTGCATCTTACTCAAAATCTAGAATTTTGTTATCTATCAATGCATATGATTTTGTTAGATACTATTTATAATGATATTTTAATTATGTTTTCAAATTTATCTTAATAAATGTAAATGCGTGGATACAAATGTTCAATTCAAATCTCTCACCTCTAACAAAATCTAACCTTTGTCGCTTGGGAAGGGAACTCCTTAGTGGTAATTAATTATCCAATGGCTGAACATTCTGATTATAAAAAATAAAAATAAAATATGTTTTCACAAATCAATTCTAAAAAACTACATAGAATTTTTAAAAAATGTTACATTCAGTTTAAAAATTATTTTTACAATTAAATTCTAAAAGGCTTAATTTCAAATCATTATTTTGAAAATAGTATTACCTTAATTACTAAAATACGAACTTCATTTTTGAGTATATTATGCTACAATTATCGACATAAAAAACAAAAATGTAAAGTTTACATTTTAACATCTCCATAACTTTTGGAGAATAATTATTTACTTAAAATTCATAATAATTGGTACAAATAGAATGCAGACTAATTATTCACAAATATTTTTTTTTAATCTAAAAGTTCACTAGAATTTTAGTTTTGTTCTCTTTCTTACCGGATGAGTTGCCCAACTTTACTTTATTCACATATGTTTTGTACATGCAAACCGTACCAAAATCTTTTCTATATATATACACATATATATATATATATATAATGCGAATGTGTTGCTTAAGCCAAGGTGAAATTCCATATTTTATATTATGTTCTATTTTTCTAATACGATAAATAGCGTTAACTAACCCAAGAATGAAATAATTCTTATATCTAAAATCGAAAACTAAATTTCCACTTACTTAGAATTTAAATCCTTAATAAAGTTAATTTTTTCTTCTATTTTTCAGGATTGATCATTTATATCATTAAATGTTATTTTAATCATACAAAAGAATTAGAAATACAGTTAAACTACCATGAAACCAATAATTAAATTTCCACGTATTTTAAAATTTAAATTTTAGATAAGTGTAAATACATTTTTTTCTTGTAATATTTTTTAGGTTTATACTTTGTAAGGACGTTAAATATTATTTGTAGATAATGTGCAATAATATAATACAATCTGTAAACCTACCACGAAAGCATTTGTTTACAGTTTAAATCTTATAGGAACAAAATAAATATATTTTCTTATTTGATAATGTGTATTATGAAACATAGTTTTTTGTTATCATATAAAAGAATAGTATTATTAAATTTGACCCATCGAAAAAAAAAAAGAACAAATGATGACGTAAGAGAGGGAGAGAGGACTAGGTCAAAAGGTGTAAATGCACATCAAAGACATGGAGAATGATCATATTATTCTACAATTATTGTTGTGGGGACACATTGACCTCTTTGCCCTTTTTTTACCATGTTGGGTGCAAGCTGTTTTCCTTCCCTTTTTTTTTTCTTCTTCTTAAAAAACATTACATTACACAAATTGTGTAACTAAAAAAATATTTTATTTGGTAAAATTATGAATAATTATTTGAAACGTATTACACTAAATGAGTCAGTAATTTTACAAGTCTCTTTATGAAAATATTAAATTTTGAAAAAGACATTGAAAGGAGAAAATTAACCATTTGGGAGGAAAAATATCTGCTTTTTTAAAAAAAAAATTCAAAGAATCATTATATGGTTCACGAGAATGTGTATGGTACCATGATAACTAACCTTAAAGAGGAGAAACCAATAGAAGAGACAAAAGACAAAACACATTTCTCACAATATATATATATATATATATATAATATGGGTGTGTGAAAATTTAAATAAAAATAATTTATAGAAAAGAAATGACCAAAGATTTTTTGTCTCCCATTTTCAAAACCTTCCATATTTCTACCTACATGCACTTTTGCCTTTCATGTGAATTGTGTAGGTGTCCTACTTCAACTTTAATATCCGTACCTTATAGCTTTTATTATGCTTAATGCTCGTGGTCGAAATTTTAATTTGGTAAGCAATTTCCCTATACATAAATCTTCTTTTTATTTATGGAGACAACTTTTTGTCATCACTTGCACATATCCCATAAAGTATTTTTCACGAGATCACCCATCGTAAGACTACTCCAAAACGAGCACGTTTAACTTTGGAATATAGGTAACCGAAAAGATAAATACATATTGTTGGAGTAACTTAATTAATTCCTTTAAATTATATTTGATTGTGTAGTCTCATACCTACACAACCCTTGAATTTCTCTTTTTTCGGTGCGTTCGATTCATCCTTATATCCTCTATTCAGAAACTCGTCAGAAGTCGCTCATTGTCTGTGTCTCTCGTCACCGCCCTCTTATAGTATCATGGACTGTTACAGGCCTACTAGCTTCCGCATGGTTTGTCCTCGAACCATACCGTACTGGAAGAGTATCGGGTCTGATACCATTTGTAACGACCTGAGGCCGCTACGGAATGTCAAAGTTGTCCCCAATACGAGATCTTTTACCGTGTTTTGTCCTCACTCGTACACATCACGGAAAGTACTTTCCAGAACGTCACTCATCCTAAGACTACTCCAAAGCGAACACGCTTAACTTTGGAGTTCTCTCGAGATAACCGAAAAGATATATGCATCTTGTTGGTATAAGAAGCTCAATTAATTCATTTAAGTTATTTTTTATTGTGTAATTTCATTCCTACACAACCCTCGGATCTCTCTCATTGCGGTGCGTTCGATTCATCCATGTATCCTTATCCAGAAGCTCATCAAGAGTCGCTCATTGTTCGTGCCTCTCGCACCGGTGATCATTTCTCACCCTCATACATTATTATGGGTTGTCACAAAACCAATACTATTGTCTGAAGTTTTTAGGTATAAAATGGATCAAATATAAACGTTTAAACTAAAATCAAATTCAAATCATATAAATTAAATTTATTTGGAAAATTCCGAAAGATATTCGAGTCAATCTTATCAATTTAATTTAATTGATACTATTGGTCTCTAATTAGTTTTCTAAAAATCTAGTAGAATGGAAATCTGTGATGTTAGACGAAAACTATATATAAAAGATAGAATGAAGAAGGAAATTTGATAAATTAGTAAAATACATTTAAAAATAACAAAATAGGAAGCACAAGTATTAAAGAAACATATTTTAGATTGATTTCTCAAATAATTTGCGGTTTTTATTTGTCACAAAACACTACAGATTATTGTTCAAGAAATTGGTGACGTGTGGCTGAGCGCTATAAAACGACATAAGCTAATTAAGCAACTCGATTTTAATTCTTTTTCTAAATAACGAAATAAATCGGTGGAAAAAAAAAGAGAAAAAGGGCGAAATCTCTTAAAGGAAAAATTCGTGTCACACGTGAAAAAAGTAAAGATTCAATATTCTTATTATTTCTTCTTCTTCACAAGATTTAATGTTATTAAGAAATACAAAATTTAAAGAAGGAAAATATATATATTTTTTTTAAAAAAGAGAAAAAGAAACAGAAAAGCTTTCACCACATAAAGTAAGAAGGAAATTGGTCTTTCTAAAAACTCCACTAGAAATTGATTGTCATGAAAAGAATACAATATATTCAGAATATTGTCACTTACTTTGCTTTAAAATGTTACGGAATTAAAAAAAAACATCAATTGTATTTGCAAGCGCAATGACGGTCGATGAATATTTAGATATTAAAGGAAACTATTGAATGGTTAAATAAAGTAGATTCTAAAATACTATCTCAGCATTTGAATTTTTTTTAAAATGATAAAATTATTAATTTATTTTTGTTAAATGAACAAATCTAATTGATATCGAGCAATGCTCTAAGCCTCTAACATGCTTAAAGCCCTCAGAGTTACGTTACTGCCCTTCAAATCCTTGACATGCAACCGATACTCTCCATACTTCAAATTAAATCTGGAATTGTTAAGATAAAATTAGATCAAAATTATTTTGTTAATCCGCGGTAAGTTTTTACTCATGTCAGTAAAAAAGATTACCTTTGAGTTTAACCGGGTAAAAGTAAAAAAAATTAAATTAAGCATAATAATAGTACGTCGTATCGTCACGTCACGTGGCATCATCCCAGTAGCTCAGTGCGGAAGTTGTTGCTTTGGTGCGGCGATTATGCAACATCAGATCTTGCAATTAAACATCACTCGACCAAAGGCGCGTGTATTGCACTTTCCATTCTTATTGTACTTATAAAAATATCGGTACTGTATTTTAATATGTGCCCATATATATCACAATTGTGGCCTTGAATGATATTTTTTTTTGGAATTTTTAAAATAAAAAATTATCATTATGGTGAAAAAAATCAATGAAAAACTAAAAATTATATTTTTTGGGTTTACAAATATTATAGAATCCAAAATCCAAAAACTAACATAAACTCAAAATAAAAATTATCCCCATTCAAAGCATATCATAATTAAAATAAATATTTAAAAATCATAAAATTTTAAATAGACATATATATTTAAGTGTAGCACACGCACCTGGCGCGCGTGAAGCACTGAAAAGTCTTTGGAGAAGAAAATCTAAGAGAGATGGACAGAAAGTGTTTTCAAACTTTTGTTTTTTCGTTTTTTTAAATACACAAATATTTTGTTTATTTATGTTTGAAAGTGAATTATACTCAGAGAGTGGAAGCGACCAAAAAGCAAACCTTGGAGTCAAAAGCCTTACGCCACAAATAATTCATTATTCCATAAATGTAATATAAAAATAAGTAGATTTAACATATGCTATATATCCAACTTTAAGCATATTACTCAACCGGTAAAGATAATAAAAATTTATGGACCTAATTTTATGAGACAATGGTTTTTGAATATATATTAGAATAGTTATTTAACGAGAACGTGTTCATATACTAACTCGGAATATTGTATTCCCTGATATTACAGCTGAAAATGCAATAAGCCTCAACAAAAATTACGAAAATATTAAATATACATATATATATATATATATATATATTCATATTCACACCACCTTCTCTCCTCTCCCTCCATGCAGTGAAATGTCATTAATATCCTTCCTCCGGGCGCTGTCTTTCTCCACCACTAGGGGCATTTCCGGTATTTCAAACATGCAACGGCACTGGACCTTTGACTTTGAACACCACGTTTGAAACCGCTTCGTGGTTTTTATTACAACATATATAATTAAAACGTTGACGAAAACAGAGCTTGTCATCTCAAGGACTTGCGACTATGGCCCATTGATGGAGCGTCGGTTTCTCCTTCTCCGATGCTCCTCTGAGCTTCTTCGATGGCGGTATTTGCGGCGAAGAACAGACAGATGATCGGTAGCAATGGCAGTGGTCTGAACTCGCGGACAAGGAATCGTTGGAGCTTTCGCTGTCGAAAATCTTAGTATCAATGACGCAACTGGGGCTACTCAGCGTTGATTCATGAAATTTTCGTTTCCTATTAAATGGGTTTTCGTTGCGATTCAGTGGAAGTTCGAGGATTAGATCGTAGCAAGTCTTCACCTTTTCCTGTCAATGCGTGAGAGGTGTTCATCAAAATGCCAGAGAGGAGATGGGAAGTGTAAAAGACGATTTTTCAGGAATTAGAAGCAAACCTTGCTTAGTTTGAGAACATCAAGAAGCTTGTCTTGGTATAATTTGGGGTCAAAGTGCTCAACTTGCTCGATAACGTGCATCATAGTAGCTGCGGCAAGAACCGACGGGAGGTAGCCGACAAATCTTGAATCTGACAGGAAATTATGGAGAAAAAACTGATGAATGCGAGATACCCAGATCGGTAATGGATGAGAAACGAGATGGGTTCGTCTTTGTTTTTATTGCGCAAAATACAAACGTTGGGTTTTGTTTCTCGATTCTGGTTCTCTTACCGGAGACTACGGAGAGAAGAAGACGCTCGCATCGCCTGAGGAAGTCCCAGTGGACATTGTTCTTCAGTCCCAACCTCCTGATTATATGGTCGAGAAACGAAATCGGAGTAATGTGATGCATCTTCCATCCAAGCGTTGACAGAATCAAGAGCTCCATTCTCTGTATAGTTTTGGCCTCGAACACATACTTCGTCTCCTCCACCTGGAAAACAGAGCACGAAACAGAGGGAAAATTGAGAATCGGTGGGGGAAAAGGTTAAGAAAGAAAGGTTGAAAATTTCATGTTTGTGTTGCGTCCTACTTGGAGGTCTATGAGAAGAGGAACTCGGGTTTCTTCGACTTTGGCAGCAAGAGAGAGACAAGTGACAGCAACAAGCTGAAGCATCCATGGCTTGTCTCTCTGTAAGCTGTAGCTACAGATGAATCTGTCGAGATATTTCATGGCTAAGACTGCCGTCAAGGTCGAGAACCCGTATTGGGAGCTCACTCTCAGAATCCAGTCCACAGCCTCTTTCCGGTCCGAGGAGAGATAAGCATCATCCAGAGAACTCAGCTCGTGTTCTTGTTCTTTGGCAAACAGAGAGATGAGTTCTTCGTCTTCCCAGAACAAATCTTGGTCAAGCACAAAGAACGGAGAAGGAGAAGGAGAAGAAGAAGAAGAAAAAGAAGTGTTCTCCGAGAGCTCTACCACTTCTCCTTCTTCATCGTCTCCCCATGTCTCTTCCTCGCAGTAGAGAGCGTCCAGAAGGAAAGAAGAACTTTGTTCTTGCTCCCGAACTTGGTAAACTTGTGGGGCTTCTCCATTTTCCTTTGGATTCGCCATTGTTACCCTTCTCTTCCAAGAACCAGAGAAAGGTTCCCCCTTCTTTTTTCTTGTGAATTACGAATTTCCTTCTCCTGTTTTCGTTTGTCTCAAGATATTACACAGAACAGAAGAAGGTGAGAAGACAGGGGAAAATCTCTCGGAGAGACTCGCCTCTCTATTTCTCTCTCTTTCTCTCTATTCGTGGAAGCGTGCATAGATAGCTACCAGAGAGCTACAGAGAGTCTAGATAGAGAGAGAGATGAGGAGAAAAGCTGATAGTGGGAAGAAGCGAAAAGAAGGAAGATTCATTTATGAGAGAAGACGAGAGGTTTTCACGCTTTGTCCTTCACTCTCTAAATTATTTATTTCTATGTTTTTACAGTATATATATATATATATATCTCGAGATATACAATACACGTATATGCATGCTTATACACTGTATGTATACAGTGTGTATGTATTTGCATTATCGGGTCTGTGAAAAAACCATAGTTCTTTACTTCTTTTCGGTGCGAGTGGCGAGAGGGGAGAGAGAGAGGACTTTGATGATTGGTCCCATTGGCAAAAGACTCATTAATCCTAAAATCATTACACAATCCAATCTTGAGATATTTATTGGGCTTAAGTACATTTTTACTTAGATTAGTAAATTTTGTTCCTCTCTTGCTGTTAATAGGCTGTCATCAATGAAAGAAAACATTTTTTAAAGGCAGAAGATGGATTCAAGAAAAAAAATCGTTATAAATGATGGCAAAAGAGAAAAAAGGCAACAGATTATCGCGTGTGTGTATGTATATATATATATATATAAAAACATCCTAAAAAAATATTTGAATTCGTCAATTTTTATAAAATAAAACTTTAATTTTATTTTTTATCAAATAAAATTTTAACTTTATTTTTAGTAAAAATAAACCCCAATTTTATAATCGTGGTTATTTTTAAATCTAAATATTGATATCACATATCATATGATAAGTCAACATTTTTATTATATTAGATATTTGTCATCCATACGTCCATACACCACATCAACAACGATTAGTTTAAAAATGATTAACTTTTATAAAGTTTAGATTTATTTATAATCTGAAAATTAAGTTGAGGTTTTATTTGATAAAAAATAAAATTTAGGTTTTATTTTATAAAAATTAACAAATTCATATATTTTTTTGGAATTTTTCAAATATATATATATATATATATATGAAACTGTCAGGTTTTCCGAAATTCTGGTCTTCTTATGCATAGATACCCACGCTATTTATATATATATATAAACAATTTACGTACGTTTATATATATATATATATACGTGTGTGTGTGTAAGAGAGACCGTAAATGGGTGAAAAAAGTACAAGGACGTAGCCCATAATCGTATGTATACTGTGGAACACATACATGATACATGCGCCCCGTTTGTAAAAACATAATTAAGAAACGTCGGCCCACAAGAGATTTTTTGTTATATTTATTTGTCTTTTACCGATGGTGAATTTTTGCCATAAAGCAACGTAGACGTAGAGGCCAACGAGTAAAAAAATCTTTGAGAGTCAACTCGAACATAGAGATTGATGTGTATTTGACAGATCGTTTCTTCTATATTTAAATTAAGAATTTTGTAAAAAAAAATAATATGTAAAAGTTTAAGGAAAAATAATAAAGATAATAATAACAATTAACTTTTCATCAAATTGACCAAACGACCAAAAGACTTTCGGCATGGTCGAGAATATGTACAAACAGAACTCCATATCAAACTTGTTTGTATTTAAATCGATGGATATAATTTTTTTTATATAATTATATTTGATTTTCTTTGCTATGTTATGTTTGTATTTGATATAATTATGATTTTTATACAATGTATCTTTATTGATATAGAGAACCAAATATTTTAAATCTTATTTGTATATAGTAATTTTTATTTTTTTTTATAACTTGGGAATCTCAACTCCTATCTTTCGAACATGTTGACTAAATAAATCTCCGTCTACATGCACGAGTCCACGACACACACGTTAGATATAAATCACGTATAACTGACGAACGATATGTGAATGGATAAGGAGTCGAACCTTCAACCTATATGTTGAATGGCAAAGTACTTGTCAACTCTCCTGTAGATTTCTCTCAATGAATTCGTGACGATTTGGATCGTACTTAACCGAATCGAAAATCAACGAAATCATTACCAACTATACCGGTCCAAACTGAACCATACCAGTTTTAAATTCCAACGTACCATAGTCACTTGTTACTTCTCTATAGTTTTTTTTAGAGAAATAATAAATCGTGGAAAATGAGAAATGAGATGAAATGGAACCAAATAAAAATGAAAAAAAATGCGAAATGGGTAATGCCATGTGCGTAAAATGTCAAAAGCATATGTTTGAAATCCAAGTGGGAAAAAGCTTGCATGGTTTCGGTTTCAACATATTTTATATATTAAGTATATGATTTTGTTTTATCCAATGGAAAAATAAATAAATAAATAAATAAAATTGTTTTAAATGGAACAGAAGTCGAAGAAAACATCGTTAATGTCCCGAAGTTGGCACCGTCGGGTGTACGGCGGTGACTGTCCCTTCTCTTTTGACGTGCACTCCTTTCTTTTTTTTCCCTCAAAAAAACCAATTACATATAAATATTATGAAAATATATACATAAAAATATGACGTTCTGTCTATGTGAAAAATATATTTTTGCAAATTATATTTTTTTCAAACTATGGAAAATGATATTTTTTTTTCGTTTTCAAAAACCAAATGCTAAGAAGGAAAAAAAAAAGAATAAAATGATCTAAATTTGGGTAGTTAAACCGGTGGGATGAGAACGCAAAGCGTCTGTCTTGTTCCGAATTCGAACCTTAGGTTTGGAGAGATAACGTATATTTCAAAGCACATAGTTGACTTCCGACTTCGGGATTAGTCTGGGTCTTAGTCCAAAATATCTGGTTACTCAAAAAAATAAAATAAAATGCGTTGGTCCTATATACACCTAGAGTTGTATATATAACCACATTTTTCAAGTTTCATAGAAGGATTATTGAACATAATCTATATCCTAACTGTTATCAATTTAAGAATTGATAATATTATTATTTTATCTCCAATGGTGTGTTTTGTTTGTATATCATTCTTAAAAAAGCATATATCTATACGATGAGCACATTTTGGTTTTCTTTTTTTTAAATCGCCATTTCATCGAATAAGTTATTTGCAACAAAAATTTCGTCATTATTATATTATTTTCATGGCATTAATTTTGATCGTATTTAATGCGATTTTTTTTGTAATGTAAATCGAAATGAATATGGACTTGTGTACAACCATTAAATCACAAATGTTCCACCAATAATATACACATTACTTTAGGTTATGGTAATCATGCATGCATGACCAACTTCATTCATGCAAAAGATTTGTTTGCAAAAGCGTCGGTCCATAATTATCATATGGAACATATATAAAATATGGCCTTAAGTGACATTGCGTTTGCAGTAATTTGAGCAAACCATTTTTTTTTTCTCTAATCAATTCTCATGTACATTAACATGATTCTAAAATTTATTACAAAAAAACTACGTTATATATTTAATAATAATAATAATAACCTTTGTACTTTTAATAACAAAATAGATTTTTCTACATTTTCAACCATGTTCGAAATCATATATACTCATCTAATTATTTTTAGATATTGTGACATCTTTTTCATGTCGTGTGCTTTATAAAATTATGTATATATTATTTATATAATGCAAGGTAGACCATGACGATAGATGTCAAATCTAATTATTTTTCAGCAAATGAACGCCGGAAAAAATGATTATTAAATTAGTCAAATGAATACATAGAGCGGCCGTACGACAATGCATGAATGGGGGCAACTTCTGTTTTACACTCAATGTGCTACATCAACTTCCACTCATACCCTCCCCTTATTAAAAAAAAATTCCAACATCTAATATACCCTCTTCTATAAATAATGACCAAAACACCCTTTTATATTTAATTTTTTATTAAAAAAATATCCCCAAAATTAGGGTAAACGCGGTCTCTCTCCTCTCTCTTTCCGGTGTCTCTCTCCTGTCTCTCTCTCCCTCATCGACATTGAGCTCTCTCTCTCCTACACTTTCTCTCTCATCTCAATCTTGCGATTTTTTCTCCAAAATCAGTAGAAATCAAAGCAAAATCAGTGGAAAATTGTTGAAGAAGTTGAAAACAGGTAAGAAAATGTGAAAATCTCATTTGTTTCTACCCACATTGATGGTTGTCGGTGTTTATATGATGAACAGTGATGCTTCTTCTACCTTTTTTCTTCTAATTGTTGACAGTTTTGAAGTTTTATCTTTTGTAGTATAGTATAGTCATAGATCGGGGTCGGATCTGGACTTTAGATGTTGTTTCTAGAGTATCACTAAACACAAATGTCGGGTCACAGTAGAGAGGAGTTGGTGAGATGGCCACACGGTCACACGATCACAAAGTGACATGCTCATTAACATAACGGTTGGCATATGTTTCAAGAATGATATGGTACTATTTTCACATGGTCACATGGTACTATGTTTACATGGTCACATGGTATAAATGCAATCCCAGATGGACCTGATGTCGTTGTGATATCTGATCGACATAGAAGCATAATAAAGGCCGTTAGAGAAGTGTACAAAGAAGCTGGCCATGGATTTTGTGCGAGACACATAGCGCAAAATCTGAAAGTTAAGGTTAACAGAGGTATGGGAAGAAAGAGTTCAAGAGGTGAAACTGTCGCAGAAAGGTTTTTCAAATGCGCGGAAGCGTATACGTTGCACGAGTTTGAAGAGAGATTTATTGATCTGAAGAACAGGTATGAACTTTCTAACCATTATTATTAATATGATGATGATGATGATGATGATGATGATGATGATGATGATGATGATGATGATGATGATGATGATGATGATGATGATGATGATGATGATGATGATGATGATGATGATGATGATGATGATGATGATGATGATGATGATGATGATGATGATGATGATGATGATGATGATGATGATGATGATGATGATGATGATGATGATGATGATGATGATGATGATGATGATGATGATGATAATGATGATGATGATAATGGTGATGATTTGGAGCTTCAGATTGTGGAGGACTCTTTGTTTTCTGATTCTGTGTTCACTTTCAGTGATGGATTAAATATAACAGTTGGTCATGAGTTTGACGATAAGGAAGCAGCGCAAGAATATGTTCGAAAGGGTGCAGCTGTGGCTCGTTTTAGGTATACTACGATGAGGTCTGATAAGAAGTTATGGGAAATAAGATGTAAATTTGCTGGATCC